TACATCACAAAAACCTTAACAGAATACTGTACCATCATGATATGACCACAATAAAATGCTGATTGAACCATCTTATTTTTCCAAAGGAAAGTGAAAAGTCAACAAACACAACAGCTTGTTATTAACTACATTCTATTTGCTCTCAACAGTACTCAATACCAATCCCTTAATGATCAGTCTCCTGGGCTCCTCCAATAAAGTGCACGCCTACTTTTCTAATCTCTGACCACATCGCCTTTATCATTTTCTGTTAACTTGCTCTCTACCGACACCTAAAGGCTAACATTTCTTTGACTCAGTTCTCAGTTTTCTCACTTCATCCTCTCACAAGGCTTCAATTAGCATCTCTATGGAGATGACCCCCTGACCTCTCTGTCACATTTGGAAACAATATTTCAAACTCAGAATAGACAAAATCTTGATTAATAAGACAACCAAGCATACAGCTTCAATTTCTCCTCTCATTCTCACTATGCATCTATCTATTAGTCCTCACCTTACTCTTCCTTTGCCTGCTTCTTAGTATTCGTTTGCCAAAGCAACCTCTTCCATCCATCTGTTCTACCTGTCTGGGATAATGGACTCTATTGAAAATTAATTGAATGTTACGGATATTACACCAAAAAAAGAAATATAAGGCCAGGGATATAGCTCAGCGGCATAAGCGGCTGCCTGGTTGATGCAACTGCCTGTACTGGTTGGGGGGAGGGGCAGGATATACAAAACAGACTTGCATTTTTACCTAATCAACGACCTTTAATAAAAATGTATACATCTACGGGCTGGGGATTTAGCACAACAGCATAAGTGCCTGCCTTGCAAGCACGTGGTTGTGAGTTCGATCCCCACCCACCAAAAAAGAATTTGTATTTCTCTTCTCAAGGTTTTAATTGCTGTTCATTGTACACAATTTTTAGCGCCAGTTCTTGCTTAATTACAAACTTGAACATGCTTTCTATATAGTTCAAGTGCCATCACAAAACAAAGTCCCCAACAGAACTCACCATTTCTCGCCTACAAACCCACTCTGCCTACAGTTACCCTAACCTCCCCAGTTTCCAAATTTTGTGTCTTGGAATGAAAATGTAAGTCTGTAATCAATCACCATGCCTTGTCTCTTTTTATCTCAGAAATAAAAATCTGTCTCAAATACAAACCCCATCTTTCTTGGTCTCTTATCCATTAAGTCTCATCTCTTTTGCTTCTATCTATACTCACCAAGATTGAAAGTCTTCCTAGTACTCTGCCACAAGAGCTTCTGTGACTGTTTCTGTCTATTCAATACTCATCTCCACCTGCTACCTTCTATGGCACTAGGTTACTGCATTTCTAGACAACCTGATTCCCCTACTCCAGGTTTTTTTCCTATCATTATTACCAGTGTTGACTCACCTTCCTCCAAACTTTCAAAATTGGCCATATGTCTGCTCTTTCAAAAAAATTAATTATAGAAAGCCCTTCCTGGACCTTGTCTGGTAGAGCTGATATTTGTAATTCCAAGGGAAAGTTACTGGAATTTCAATAAATTATTCTAATCTACCACTTGCAGTGCAACCCATGGCAAGAATAAAGACACTAAGGCTATTTGTAGTTGTAGGGAGCCAAGGTCCTAAGTCCAGTCAGAACAATGCCTAATCAGAACAAAGGCCACACTCAGGGCCAAACCCAGGTTTTTATTCGTTCATGAAGAGGGGAGTGGCTCAGGGATGAGTGACTGAGAGAAAGGTGGAAAGCACTTGAATGCTGCAAGCTGAGCTAGGTAGAAGCTAAACTAGGTAGGAAGCCTGAGAGTACCTCTGCAACATGCAGAGAGAGAAGCACAAAGAGTAATCTGCATATCACAGAGTAAGTATCTAGTGTTTTGGGGTACATGCTTCAGCTCTGATGTGTAACCTTCATGCCATGAGATGTCACAGATTTTTTAAAATTTTTTTTATGGTACCAGGAATTGAACTCAAGACCTTGTGCTAGTCATGGGCGGGGGATTTAGCTCAGTGGCCTAAGTGCCTGCCCTGCAAATACGCGGTCGTGAGTTCAATCCCTGGTACAAAAAAAAAAAGATCTTGTGTTAGTCAGTCAGGCACTTAAGCCACTGATCCCTGGCCCCATCATAGATTTCTGAACCCGACTCTGCCTCAGCCAAGTGTGGAGTTACTCCACCTACCTGGGCATCACTGACTTGTTGCTTTAAAGGCAAAACATCAGTACGTAGGCTAGCAATTGAGGGGATAAAGAAATATCCTAGCCAGCTCTGTACATATCAATACACAGAAATAGAGCCATGTTTAGCCAAAGTGAAACCAAATGCTCTTCTTTCAAAGAAAGCCACCCTGGTGGTCCTCCACTATTAATGCTTCCTCAAAGTACAAATACAGAACAGTACAATCAAACTCAGGTTTGCCGTTATAGCCCTCCACAGTTTGTCACTAAGTACTTTTCCAGGATTAGATTCCACAGTTCAAGCTGTCACTTGCTCCTATTATCTGCCTATCAAAATCACACCCACTCTTAAAGGCCCAACTCAAACCCTACTCTTCATCTGTAGAATATGCATCGCATGTTTTTAGGAAAGGAACCAAAACAAAATAGACACAATTTCTAATTAACTGATTCAGAAAATGAAAAAAAAAATGCTACACAATAGGTGAAAATCCTTAAACCCTCCTGGAAACATTGAGTTTCTTGTTTTAAGACAGGGTCTCGCTTTATAGTTCAGGCTGGCCTTGAGCTATGTAGTCCATGGTAGCCTCAGACTCACAGCAATTCTCCTGCCTTAGCCTCCAGAGTGGAGTGCTGGGATCATAGGCATGTGCCACCACGCCTGGCAACATTAAATTTCTTAAGAGACTGCTATTCAAATATTAACATTTCTGCTAAAAAGCTCTGCATAAACCTATTAGTCAACACTGATCAAATGCTAGTAATGAGGATGGTAAAAGATTCCGTTAATAATAGGGTATATTATCAACTTGAAGATTAAAAGGCTCTAATCCGGACCTAGGATTCAGATTCCATTGTATTAATATTTTACTGAGGAAAGGAAAATTACAGCAAGAGAAATTAGCATTTCAACTTGTGTTGAGTCATGTAAGTTTGCAGCAGCAACAGAAATAGGCTCCAATTCTAAATCATCATTAACACTAGTAAATATGAGATAAGGAAAAAAATAATCCAAATTGACATCCTAAAGCTAATTTTTTAAAAGAGGCAATAAGCTGTCAGGAGCAATAGCCTCATGAGAGAGTTACTGGCATACTTACTAGCAGGTGCAAGAGTACTGAGATGCATGACAAGAGAAGTGATGTTGTGAGCTGTATTTTCTCTCCATTACTTTTCAGGCTCGCCCTTCTTTTAGGCCTGACTTGAATTTCTGTTTTGGCTCCCAAGTCTGTGAATTCGAGTTAAATTTTACAGCTGTAAACTGGGGAGCATTTTGCTCCTACATGAGAATTTTCATGATTCAAGTTTTTTTTGTTGTTGTTCTTTTCGTTTTGGGGTTCAAACTCACAACCTCATGCTTGCCAGGTAGGTGCTTATTTGACTGAGCAAAATCCCAGGCCCTCAAAAGTCTTTTTAGGAAGAATATTAACAGTAAACTATGCGAAAGTTCTGAAATTATCAGTATCACTATTTAAAGGAAGCAGGGTGTACTGAAAAGAGCTGCAGCATTTGAAATGGGAGTTTAGCCTACAATCTTAAGTCTGACTCTAGTTTTGAGACCTGCGAACTGACTTCACCTAGAAATACATTCTAACTTGAAGACAAATATCACTATCTTCCTTCCTCAAAGTGGTTATTCAGATACAACACAAAGATAACAGCACATGCCATGAAGCATTCAAAAAATGTTTACCTCAACACACACACACATTTATGGGGACTGGGGCTTTAGCTCAGCAGGTATAAGCGCCTGCTTGGCAAGTGCAAGGTCCTGACTTCGATCCCTAGTACAAAAAAACCCAAAAAGCCAAAAAAACAAAACTTAAGATTTATGACTAAGAGAATCAACTTCTACCAACTCTTCATGAACACATTCTTCATCAAGTAACGCTACAGCTAGCTCATTCTAATAAATACAATACTGTCACCATCATTCTACAAACGTTTCTGAGGGATCTGGATCAAGTAAGAATACGTGCATGTGACTATGTAAGAATTTCAGTAAGATGAATATACAATGACCACTAAACCATTAACTGGGAAAGTTCGTTGTAATTAGGCTAAAGTATCTCTTATGCTATTAAAGCTCTTTAGGGGAAAAGGGGGAAAAAAGTCATTTAGTCCGAACTCCAAACATATCTTTAATAGATCAAAAGAGTGATGCGGACTTATCCTCTGTGAAAAGCAACAGTAAGTAGGATATTAAGGCCCATTTTAAAACTTCAAGGTTGAAATATTCCACAACCAACACTGGTACCAGTAATACTTTTTAGAAAGCCTGCGCAGGAAAACACCATTAGCAGCATTAGAAATATTTAATGAAAGCTGTTCGTGGTTAACAGAGGTGAAAGGAGAGAAAAATATTATTTTGGTGTTCCACACACACAACGAGATGAATGGCTCTCAAGACCACGGCCATCGCCACCGTCCGCAATCTGATGGAATTCCTGGTTTTACATTCTATTATCAAAAAGAAGACCATGATGCTAGCAAACTGAGAAAGGAGGGGACGCTTCCATTCCGTTTGCGAGGGTCCAGGCTTCAAAGTCCGCTCTTGAGACCAAGTCCGGAGGTCCACGGGTGCTGGCCTCCGCCCCGAGCCCCTCCCAACAGTGAGCAAGGGCCGGGCTGGGAAGGGTCCCCAGTTACACCTAAAGCTCCACCCGTCCTAGGGCACCGCCGAGCACCCCAGCACAAGAACCTTGTGCTTGGAGCTGGAGTCGGGGTCGTCGCCGCGCGGGAGGGCGAGGCGCGGGCGAGGCCTCGGCTCCGTCCGCAGTAGCGGCGAGCGGTGGGATGGCCGAGCAGGGCCCGGCCTGCGGGCGAGGGCGGACACTCACCACACCATGCCGTAGGCGCCCTCGCCGATGTACGAGAGGTTGGTGTAGCGCGGCCCCACGTCGAACACCTGCCCGCGGACCATCTCCGGGCCCGCGCCCGCCGCCGCCGCCGCCGCCATGTTGGCTGCCGGGCCGCCGCCGCTGCCGCGCTGGACTGACCTCCGCGGCTCCCGCTCAGCTATTTGCCGCGCCTCCCGAGGGGCTGCGCTGAGACCCGTACAGCCGCCGCCGTTAACCGGGAAGGACTAAAGGCGACGGTCAGAAAAACAGAGAGGACAACCACAGCTCGAACCCACTGCCTGCCTGACTGACGGGCGGGCCGGCGGGCGAGCGGAGGGAGGGGCGCGCGCCGAGGAGGGCGCAGGGCAGGGCCAAGCAGCGTGCGCGCGGATTGGTTTTCTGCAGTCGGGGCGGGGCCGCGCGGGCTGGCGGAAGCGTAGAGTTCAGGGCGGAGCACTGCAGCGGCCGAGGCGACGCCGATCGGCGTGGTCACGTGCATCGCAGCCAAGAGGCGAGTGGGGTGGCCTTTGGTGCTGTGAAGGAGACGGGGACTTCGGAACTGTGGAGCAGCGCGACCCTCCCGGCCGAGTCTTAATAGGGCCAGACATCAACCTGGGACTGAGCGTGAGACCCGAGGACGCGTCAGACTAGCCACTGGGACCCTGAGACAGGCCTCTGCGAATCCCTGACCAACACACTGATGAACTTAGACCTCTAGACTAAGAAATCGAAAGACTTGTCTGAGACCGAGAAAGATATTTGCATACCGAGAAAGTGAGACACCAATATGGAGACCAAAACCGAGAAAATACGTAGATCCCCTAATCAGAGGTTCAATGCACAAATATTTGTTGAGCACTTACCGTATTTTGAGGAATCCATCCTCACAGAAGTTATTTTCAAGAAAGAGAAGGGAAGTAATTATAATACCTGAGCTATAAGCAGTAGGTATTACGGAATAGTAAGTTAAACCACTTGATAAAAATTCACAAACTGAATAGAAATTTAGATATAGGACATACTGAAATATAGACACAAAGCATGGAATCGCTAAGACAGTAACATCAAGACTTAGTGGTTTTACCCACTAAGCCAGACAGATGCTGAGGGCTAGAAACAGTCACAAACATCAGAGGTTGAAAAATAAAAATAGTAATGGATGCCAAGAAAAATCTAACAGAAAACGATCCAGCCATTGTCTCTCACCATGTTTGGAGGGAGAAGCAGACCATTTATCCTCTTCAGTCAACACTGGGTTTTTCCTTAAAACTTTGAATTCTAGACCTCACATACTAACAAAGAACAGATAGGCCATCTAGAAGAAGAACAAAGAAGGCTTTTAAAAAATCCTGTGGGGAAGATGAGAGTGTAGTTCAGTGATAGAGCTCACACTTAGAGCTCACACTTAGCATATCTTGAGTCCCTAGGTTCAATCCCCAGCACCAAAATAAAAAGCGAAAAACACTGGAGGGTTGAGGAGGGTATGCCACTTGAAAAAAATGAATACTAGAATCAAAAAATACTCCTTCAAAATATATTTAACCCATGAATTAGAACCCAATTTTAGAAAACACCTAATTTATATGCTTTATTAAAAAAGGATATTAAATGTTTTTTTAAAATGACCAAGATAAACGGAGAGTACTATGAAATGAAAACCACAATAAGCAAAGTAAAAGCAGTAATTGAAACAGTAAAAAGCAGGCATGATGATGCAAAAGAGCAAGTCAGCAGAAATACTTTTAAGTCCTTTTAAGGATACAGAATAAAATAATTGAAATCTCCAAAACCAAAGATCATGGGCATCATTCATGGGAATTCAAATTATAGTTATTCTCTCCCCTTAAAAAAAACAGCAAATCAATTAAAGTAATAATAAGAATGGAGGGCCTGGGGATTTAGCTCAACAGCATAAGCATCTGCCTTGCAAGCAGGCAGTTGTGAGTTCGATCCCTGGTACCGATAAAAAGGAAAAAGACAAAAAAAAAAAAAAAAAAGAATGGAAGAAAACTTTCCTTAGATCTGAAAAGATTACAAGTGAAAGTGGAAAACTGAGTAAATTTTCAAGGATCCAGAAGAATGAATAAGCAGAAACCAACTTCAAGACATACGGAAAAACTGCTAAATTTTAGGGATAGAGGGCAAATAATATCCAATCGGGCAACAAAAAGTTATATTTTTAAAATTTATTTATTTTAGTTTTTTGAGGCAGGATCTTGCTGTGTAGTCCAGGCTGGTCTTGAGCTCACCAGTGGCTCAGGCTGGCCTCTATATCATGACAGTTCTCCTGCCTCAGCCTGCCAAGTGCTGGTGTGCCTGACCACAAAAGGTTTTTTGTTTTGTTTTTTTGGTACTGGAGATTGAACTCTTGAACTTTTGCTTGCCAGACAGGCACTTATGCCACTGAGCTAAATCCCTGGCCCACAAAAGGTTACTTTTAAAGCTAAATACTGACTTGAGATTGTTTCTCTGCAATAGTTAATGCTAAAGGAAAATGAAACTAGACTGACAGCACTCTGAAGGGTTAAATTATGGTCCTCCTTGGATGATTTCATTGACTGTAACTCCTTCATTCCTCCTAGATCTTTGTGTTGCTCAAAATATCTCTCCTTGAACTCTATGTCTGCATATCTACCTGCACACTGGACAGCTCCATGTGACATCCCACAAAGGCATCATCTCCATGCATCTAAACTACCAGTGGTTAACTGCATGAATTTTGTGCTCACAGGGCTAGAAGCTTTGTATCGCTGCTGATCCACTTAAACCTGTATGACCTTGACCTTAATTTCCCAAGATTTAAGATAGGGATTGCAAGATTGTCTACGTCATAATTTTGTTGTAAAAAGAGAATAAAACAACACGTGAAGAACCTAGCACATAGCACTTTATGTACCCAATAAATATTATCTGTTTTTGTTATCTACCCCACCCAAACCTGTTCCACATCTTACATCTATGGGTAGCGTCACCTCTACTGAGCCACATACTCAAGCTGGAAATTTGTCTACACTCTTTTAGCAATGCATTTTATACTGGGGTGTAACTCAGTGTTAGAATGCTTGTTTAATACAAGTGATGCACCTAACCAATCACAAATTCTATTTCTATAATAAATAAATTATATTTCTATACAGTTCAGGAATACTTGACATTCCTAAATGTGGTCTTCAGACCATCAGCATTATCTGGGATTTTGTTAGAAATGTAGTCTCTCATGCCTGAGACCTCCTGAATCAATATCTGCATTTTAACAAGATGATTTGTCTGTACATTAAATTTTGAGAGGCACGGTTTATGTAAGCACCTTCTCTCCACTGCCACTCTGCCAATTAGATCCTGCTGCATCAACTCACTGCACCTACCTGTGGCTTTAATTAACTTCTCCACATTGGGTGTTCTGTGTGTCCAATTGCCATTTTTTTTCCCTTGCAGGGTCCATCCTTCCATAACAAACCCAGCTATGTCCCTTCTCTCTTTTTTTTTTTTTGTCTTTTTGAGGCAGGGTCTCTCTATGCAGTTCAGGCTGGCCTTGAGCTCACTTTGTAGCCTAGGCTGGGCTGGTCTTGAACTCACAATGATCCTCCTGCCTCAGCCTCCCAAGTGCTGAGTGAGATTACAGGCGTGATCCACCACACCTGGCCCTTCTCTTTATTTATTTATTTATTTATTTATTTATTTATTTATTTGAGACAAGGTCTCTCTATGTAATACAAACTGGCCTTGAGCTCACTATGTAGCCCAGGCTGACCTCCAATTCACAGTGGCCTTCCTGCCTCAACCTCCCAAGTGCTGGGATTACAGCCCTATACCACCATATCTGGCTTGTTTGTAATCTTTTGGGGTGCCAAGGAGTACATTTAGTATCTCTCTCATGCTAACCATGTGCTCTACCAGTTCCTTTCATGCCCTTTCTAAAAGAAGTCCATAGCTCTTCATTACAGGTCAAATGAGATCCTTGCTGATCACTCTCAACCCAAGTATTTGTGGCATTTCAAACTACTACACTGGCAGAGTGTCATACTTCTACATACTACTAAACTACTGTGCACTTGGATATCTTGTGCCAGCCCAAACTGTGCTTCTGCACAGCCCCTCAGCTGAGACCTGCACCCACACTGGCATGAGTGTTTCATTTGCCGCTGCACCCTGGCAGCCAGATCTAATGGCTCCAGTGGTAACTACTGCAATTGAGATGATGGTGGGCTCTGCTGTTGGACATGCACTGGGCCGTGCCATCCCTAGGGGGCTTCAAGTGGAGGAAACAATGCTGAGCCCTTAAGGCCTGGCATTACCTTTCAGGGGCCTTAAGGAACTCTGCCGGCATAAGTATAACAGAACTTTGGCCTTTAATTCTATGAGCTAAAATAGTTTTTGGATTGTGCCCAGAATCAGGCTGATGTTAAGCTTTGTGAGGATTTAAATGACCTACAGAAATGGTGTAGATTTGCAAATGGATTAGTCTAATCAAGAAGTTCAAATTGAAGCAATGGGAAATTGACTCACATCCAAGTAACTTTTTTTTGTTTGTTTTTTGAGACAGAGTCTCACTAGGTAGTTGAGCCTGACCCTAAGCTCACTATGTAGTCCAGGCTGGCTTCAAATTCATACCTTAGCCTCCCAAGCCTCTCAAATTCATACCTTAGCTGGAATTATTGGTGTGTGCCATCATACCCGGCTTTTGTAACTTTAACATACAAATATAATTGCTAGTGAAAGTATAAAGTGTAAAAGCATCAGTTAAATGTCTTCTTTGTTTCTTGTTTTCTCATTGTACTGCTGGGGATCAAACCCAAGATTTCGACCACTGAGCTATAACTCTAACAATTTCCTTGCTTCAGAATTGCAATGGAAGAGGCTGCTCTTACTACATATAGATTCACTGAGATCATACAGAATCCAGGGGTGGGCAAATGTTTGTATTACCTCTTTAAACAACTATTGTGATATTGTTTGTGAGACAGAATAGAGTGGTTTTTCTTTCAAAATTAAAATAATAATAAACCACTACACTATTAGGGCATGCTGCATCTAACCACTAATTTTTTTCCAGAGAACTACTCTTGCCTGGTTCTATGGACACTAAGCAACCTTATGATTAGAGTTTGACTTCACTAGTAGTTTTGTGACAAAGAAAGTGCCCTAACCAGTGGACAACCCCATTCAAGTCCTGTGGCAATTATTGTTCATTCTAAGATGAAGTTTAATCTCATAAATCACATCTCTGCTGAGTCAGGTTAGCATGAGCCAGGCCTGGAGGGAACAATCATCTAGTCACATTGGCAACAAGAAATTTCTGGAAGCACAAAGCTGAAAGCCAAGTTCAAGAGTACTGTAGGCC